CACAAACAACTTGAGCAAGGGCTCTATATTCGGCCTCAGAAGAAGATCTGGAGACTGTTGTTTGTTTCTTAGTTTTCCAGGTAATCAGAGAGGTTCCTAAGAAGGTACAGTAGCCTGTAAGTGACCTTCTAGAGTCAGGGCAGCTTGCCCAATCAGCATCACAAAATCCAGACAGCTCCAACTTAGAATCTGATCTGAACATAAGTCCTTGTCCAGGACTTTGTTTTAAATACCTGATTACCCTGTGAGCAGCTTGCAGATGCTCAACACATGGTGCTCCTTGATACTGTGCCAATTGTTGAATTGCATAGGTAATGTCAGGTCTTGTAATGGTTAGATAGTGTAGTCTTCCAATGAGCCTCCTGTAAACACTAGGATCTGGTAATGGATCTCCTTGGGTTGCTGAGAGCTTCACATTACAGTCAACAGGAGAAACACAGCCCTTGGCTTCAAGATAGTCTGTGTCAGTGACCAATTCCAGACAATACTTCCTTTGACTCAGGAAGATGCCCTTGTGATCTCTTAGCACTTCCAATCCCAGAAAGTAGCTCATCTGCCCAAGATCTTTGACCTTGAACTCTTTACTCAAAAACAGTTTAAGCTGCTCAATATCTCCCAAATAACTCCCTGCAATTAATATGTCATCAACATATACCAAAACCACCACAATCCTTCCTTGAATCCACCTAACAAACATGGAATAGTCTGATGAGGTCTGGGAATAACCATTCTTCATTAAAGCACTGGTTAGCTTGGCAAACCATTGCCTGCTTGCCTGTTTAAGTCCATAAAGTGACTTCTTAAGTTTGTAGACCAGCCCTTGGTTTCTAGGAACATTTGCACCAGGAGGAATCTCAAGGTATACCTCCTCATCCAAATCTCCATGCAAGAATGCATTGGAGACATCCATTTGATGGATGTGCCAGTCTTTAGAAGCAGCTACAGCCAACAAAGTCTTCACTGAGTTGATTTTAGCTACTGGTGAGTAGGTATCAAGGAAGTCAATGCCATATATTTGGGTGTATCCTTTGGCAACTACCCTTGATTTGAACCTCTCAATACTACCATCAGACTTGTGTTTGATCTTAAACACCCACTTAGACCCCACAGCCTTCTTCCCTGGTGGTAACTTCACAACCTCCCAGGTTTGGTTTTCTTCCAAAGCTGCTAGCTCTTCATTGCAGGCTTGGTTCCACCTAGGATCCTTAGATGCCTCAGCATATGAAGTAGGCTCTGTGGTCAACATGACACTCATGGCAAAAGATCTTTGTGCAGGGTGAGATGCTCATAAGTGTAATGCTGCCAGACATGGTGTTTAGAGGAAGAGGCAGCTATGGTGACATGATAGTCTTTGTGCCAGACAGGAACAGTGTGAGTCCTGTTAGATTTTCTAAGAAACTCAGCTTCATCAGTGTCATTCTCATCAGGAAACACAGCTATCTCAACATCCTCCCCCACAGAATGTGAACCAGACAACTCACTAGAAGAGGGGCAGGTGCCAGAAGGAGAAGGAAAAGAAGGTGAGGGGGAAATGGGAACATTCTGGGAAGTGGAAGGTGTGGTGACAGTGTCCTGATGAGAAGGGAAAGATGGAGTAGGAGCAGGAGGAGGAATGAAGTTGGGAACTGGTGATAAAGAAGGTGTAATGGGATCTGAAAGAGGAAGAGTGGAAGTAGAAGTAGAAGAAGAAGTTTGGAAAGGGAAAATTGTCTCATAAAAGACAACATCTCTGGAAACAAAGAAGGAATGATTGTTCAAATCATAGAGCTTATAGCCCTTGATGCCAGAAGGGAAACCAAGAAAAATACACTGTCTGGCTCTACTGTCAAATTTGGTTCTATCTCTGTGAAGTGTAGTGGCATAGCTGAGACAACCAAACACTCTAAGGCCAGACAAACTTGGAGGTTTATTATAGAGAAGTTCATAGGGGGACCTGTTTCCAAGCACAGAAGTTGGAATTCGATTAATAAGGTAGACTGCATGGAGAATGCAGTCACTCCAGAAAACCAAGGGAACTCCAGATTGGAACCTAAGGGAACGAGCCACATTGAGGATGTGTTGGTGCTTCCTCTCGACCCTAGCATTCTGCTCAGGTGTCTCAACACAAGACAATTGATGTTCAATTCCCTGTGCAGCATAGAACTCAGCCATATGGAACTCAGACCCCTGATCACTTCTGATCACTTTAACCTGTTTGGAGAATTGCTTTGCAACCATCACACAGAAAGAAACTAGAAGAGTGCTGGCTTCAGATTTATGCTTCATTAGATAAGTCCATACACCCCTAGAGTAGTCATCTACTATAGTGAGAAAGTAGGAGTAACCCTCATGTGATTTCACAGCAAGAGGACCCCATATGTCCACATGGATCAAAGCAAAAGCATCCTGTGCTCGAGAAGTACTAACAGGAAAGGGTAAACGTTTTTGTTTGGCATAATGACATGTCTCACAATGAAAAACTGGATCCCTATTACAAGGTATTAGAAGTTTTTCTTTTTCCTTATGAAGGTGTCCTAGCCTCCAGTGCCACAGATGGATGTTTTGAGGAGAAAAGTTGTAAACAGCAGCTGCTTGGGAATGGTGTGTAGAAGATTGAGATGGCTTGAAGTTTAGTTGGTAGAGTCCTTTAATCTGCTTTGCCAAACCAGTCCTGCTGTGGGTCATGAGGTCCTGAATTTGGCAACAGTCAGATTCAAAGTGTAAGGAGATAGGTAGGTCATTTGTGAGTTTACTAACAGAGACTAGATTGAAAGAGAAACTTGGCACTAGGAGGACATTGTCTAGAATCAAGCCAGAAGGTAGTTTAACTCGTCCCACATGACTGACAGCAACTTTGGTTCCATTTGGTAAGAACACATATTGATTGTAAACAGGCTGAGATTCAATGAACAAGTCTAAACTGCAGGCTATGTGATCAGAAGCCCCAGTGTCTAGTATCCAAGTTCCCATAAGGGCAGATCTTTGCTGCAAGTAAGAAGAGAGTATATACTTACCAGCAAAGCTAGGGAAGTGAGGAATATGTTGAGACACAAAGAAAGCATGATGGTTGACTGATGGTGATGCAGGTGGTGAAGGACTGGGAGAGGATGTGACTGAGCTGAGTAGAAACTTGAGTTTGTTGATTTCTTCTGATGACAGGCCAAAAGATGTTGTAGAAGTCCTTGTGTCAATGCTCAACTTAGTGTCTGAGCTGGAAGAGTCACTATCAGTTGAGGACTCACTTTGAGAAACAGCAGCCACAACATTTCCTCCTGCCATCCTAGCCTTCTTCCTCTTCAGGCTATAGCAGTCTTCAATTGTGTGGTTTTCTTTCTTGCAATATCTGCAGAATTTCTTCCCATCTGATCCTTCTGCAGGTTTGTTTTGATTCCCAGACTGTCCTGGAACAGCAAGAGCCACAGTCTGCACTCCCTTAGTATTCCCTCCTTTATCACCTTTGATTTTCTGTTCATGCTGGAGAAGGTCATTAACAGCAGCATCCACAGTGGGTAGTGGTTTCATCATCAGGAGCTGGGTGTGAACAACATCATACTCATTCCTCAACCCTTTCAGAAAACGGATGAGGTATTCCACTTCCTGTTTTTGCTTGAAAGCTTCCACTGCTGGACATGGCCTAGTCCTTTGAGGAGCACAATCACATTCAACGATAGGGTTAAACTGCAAATTCTCTTCCCAAAGACCCTTAAATGCAGTATAATATTGGGTAATGTTCATAGATCCTTGTTTACAAGCAATAATCTGATCTTGCAAGTTTGCCAGCCTGATAGCATTAGGAAGCCCAAACCTATTCTTCAATTCAACCCAAAGAACCCTTGCATTCTCATGCTGCATAACACTGCGTCTAATTTCCTTGTCAATTGAATTGAGAATCCAGCAAAGAACAAGTGTGTTTGAAGCATCCCATAACGCATAAGTTGGATCATTCTCATCAGGCATAGGTATAGTCCCATCTATGAATCCTACCTTATGTTTAGTCTTCAGGGCCATACGAATTGCCCTCTGCCACATTTGGTAGTTTGGTCCATCTAAGTTCTCTGAAACAATCGATTGAGAGACATTCTCATTTGGGTTAATATAGAAGGGATTACCAAACTGGAGATCGTCACGTCGATTGCCGTTGTTGTTGCTGGTAGTCCCACTACCGTTGTTGCTTGTGGTACCATTGAAGGTGCCAAATGGAATGGCACCACTGTTCAGTTGACTGCGATTGTGTGGAGGTGTGTTAGCCATTGTAGATCACTGGATCTTGTCCAGCTCTGATACCATAAAATAAAGATGTAATGGGTAGGGTTTGTAGGTAGAAGAAGAAGATAGAGGCGGTATGCAATGGAACCCGCAAAGGAGGCAGGGTTCTCACTTCTCTTATATATATAGTGCTGGTAAAAGGGAAAGTGTTCGTACAAGAACAGTAAAACTGGAAATGAACGTTAAACTGTAATTTAAACAAAACAGTAAATAATGTGCCACGTGTTCCTTCTTCGTTGGCTCCCATCTTCTCCAAGCAACGGTAAGCTCAGTCCTAAACGTCGTCGTCTCGTTCTTCACTTAAGTCCCTGGAGAAGTCGATTGAAACGTTTCGTCCTGCTGCTCTGTTCTTCAAGGTCAGCTACAGCAGCTTCATCATCTGAACCAGAGGTTCATTCTTCTGCATCCTGGATTGATAACTACGGCCGCCACTATCTCGCCCTCAAGGTAGGCTTTACCTTGAACACTGAAATCGTTCCCCCCCTGATTAGGGTTTCGTTCACTCTGAAACAAGTATAAGTTGATTAACCTCTTTGTACTGTGCTTGGCATTAGTGGATCAATTGACTCTGCCATTTGTGTTGTGATTTTGTGGTTGATAGATATGTTGGAATCATACTGCTTTTGAAGCTTCAGCAGTTTAGAATCAATCCATCATTAGTTGGGTTTTTTTTTCTTCTGAATGCTGTTCTTGTTGTTGCCATGAGTTTATGAAGGATATCCTGCCCTTTGGTCCTGCTGCAGATTTCAAAGTGGATGACAGACAAAATGCACCTCGACCTCACATCAGAAGATGCTGCTATGAGACTGGAGTTGATAGCAAAGGTCCAAGGGATAGAAAAAGCAGAGCGGTATTTCTATAGGCTGCCGCAACAACTCAAGGGGATCGATACTTATGGAGCACTTCTAAGCTCTTACGGTCATGTTCAAGCTGTGGAGAAACGAGACGAAATAGACCGAGGCCATGACCTGTCGAGCCTCAGTTACAAAGAGAAATTTGATGCTCTCGTCAAGGAAATCGATGATAGGGGCATCTCCTTGGATGCAATGACTTATAGCATACTAATATCTTCATATGGTGCTTTTCTTGATGTGAATGGAATGGAGAAAGTCCTGATAAGGATGGAATCCGATCCAGATGTCAATCCAGGCTGGGGTATTTACAACAAAGCGTCAACCATTTACAGGAAATCTGGGATGAAGGAGAAAGGAATTGAAATGCTGGAGAAAGCCGAGGGGCTCATAACAAAGAACAAGGATATGAAAGCTTATTATTGCCTCATCACCAACTATGCTGCCATGGGGGAGAAATCTAGAGTCTTGGGGGTTTGGGAACTTCTCAAAAAGAATGGCAAGGTTCTCAATAAGGGATATATGAATGTGATAAGTTCTCTACTGAAATTGCAAGATTTTGAGACTGCGGAGAAGATATTTGATGAGTGGGAATCCCGGAATTTGTCTTATGATGTCCGTATTCCCAACATTTTGATTCGTGCTTACTCGACAAGTGCTCTCCTGGAAAAGGCAGAGACAATGGTCGACAGGGTAATAAAGAAAGTCGGCGAGCCCCATGCACATTCTTGGCTTAACCTGGCAATAGGTTACCTCAATCATGGTCAAACTGAGAAAGCCATGGAAACCTTCTGTGAATGGTTCTAAGTCGGGTTGGAGGCCCAACCCTAGGGTTTTGGAAGACTTTCTGGAGCTGTTAGCGCGGAGAGGGGATTGCTTGGAGGAAGTAGGACAACTGATCAAGTCACTGGCTGACAACGATGTTGTACCCTTGTCAGTTAGATTCAGGTTTTCGGGGAATCTTCGCGTGTGGTCGTTAGATCATGAGTTTGATGGACATGCCAACGGGTCGGGTTTTGCCAAAATCATATCCAAACTCATGAGTTTATCTGTGAAAAAAAAAAACTCGGGGTAAGACCCACTGTGTTTGAAAAACTCAAACCCAACCCAACCCGTTGGATATCCGCATGTTTATGGCTACTCATGAGTTTTTGTCGAAAAAAAGTTACAATAACAAGTTCATATCAAAATAAAAGTGAAATATCAATCTCTCAATACAAATTATCCATATATAAAACACCATTATAGAAAATTCAAGCAAATCTAAATTAACCATACAAATTGTTCAATACCAATCTAGAAAACTTAAAAAAAAATTGAAGCAAATCACAAATTATCCATAAACAACATGATTAAGTCTTCCTCGTCAATTAAGCTTTTTCACTCCCACTCGATAATATCAACTCATTCTACACAATTAGAAAGAAAAAAATTAAACATGTCTCCACAAACATAAAGAAGATTAGTTGTTTAGAAATATACCAGAAAAATTAATTACCATGACATTACGCTTGGTTTTTATATGGATTATGGTCAACATGGCAGCAGTTCCCTTCGAGGAGTGATACTAGTTGATGGTCCCTAACCTAGCACTATGCTTGTCCACGAATGTTGGAAGCTCCATAGTTACGACGAGGAGTTGTAGAGTTTGCTATTCGACTTGCAGCAGCCAAATTAAGTTCCCAGTCCCCATTGTCAATAGACTTGACCCCTAAACCTTCTCATACACAACAAGAAAAAGAAAAAAAAGTAAATACAATATATTAGCCATAACTATTAAGTAGCGGGGAATTATAGCCATAACTATCGAAATACAAATTATTAGCCATAACAATTGTTGCGGGTCAAGATTTGGCTAACAGCCGTTACTGTTTTCAAAATTTTAATGGAGAGGGCCATGTCAGCATTAGTAAAAACTATGATATGATGACTGCCACGTGGGAGCCAGCTCAGCATCGTAAAAGTTTAGTCATCATTACTAACAAAAGTGTTAACGAAAACTTAGCGATTGGCTAATAATTTGTATTTCCATAGTTGTGGCTATAATTTCCCGCTGCTTAATAGTTATGGCTAATATATTGTCTTTGCCCAAAAAAAAAAAAGCTCCTTTGTCTCTAATCCCCCTTTGCACGACATTGGAAACATGCTTACCCCAGGGAATCAGCTAGTTGTTAGTTGTTACTAGATAAGCTCGCTTGCGCTTCGCGGTGACTAAGCGAAACTAACGATATAAATGTGTGAAATAATTAGAGAATTGAGCGAAACTAACGATATAAATGTGTGAAATAATTAGAGAATTGTAATTCATCAGACAGCTATAAAACCAACAAAAAGAAATCACAAAAATATAGTGGGGAACTTTATAGCAACTTGCACTTGCTGGCCAACAATGTTATAGATTAGAGAAGGACGATCTACATATTATTAAGTAAGAATATGTTCAATTTGGAGTTTCACAACTATTAGTTAGAGAATTCACGAAGTTTCTACATCTGAAATGAAAATGAACAAGGATGAACTTAGAATTAACCTAGGATTCCCTATAACATCCCGAACATTTCCCCGAATAAGATATTGTCCGCTCTGGGTCTAGAACCTCACATATTTAGTCTTGGGGTTAATATCAAGGTGACTTCTCATAAAGTCGCCCATCTTTCCAGAGTTCCACCCTAAACACGTTTAACTTCAAAGTTCTCACAATAACTCATTCATTTCACCCCAAACGCGTCTTGTCAGTTAAGGTCGTTTTTTTATAATGAGTTAAGGTCGGTTTCTTACATATGAACCATGGATATCTCTCGTGTTTTGTCGATGTGGGATTTGCTTAATTTGTTACATACACCCCCTCTTGGAACTCAACGTCCTCGTTGAGATTTGTTCTACCATCGTTCAAGAGGGACACGGAGAATCTGATACCACTTGTAACATCCCGAACATTTTTCCGAAGAAAATATTGTCCACTTTGGGTCCATACCCTCGCGGATTTAATCTTAGGGTGCATATCAAGTTTAACTTCAGATTTCTCACAACTACTTCATTTCACCCTAAGGTTGGTTCTTACTTATTAACCACAGATCTCTCTCGTGTTTTGTCGATATGGTATTTTCCTAAGGTGCTGCACTCTCATTTGAGATGAAAAAGAGAAGACAAAAAAATGAAGGATAAAAAAGTCAACCAAAGCAGAGGACAAAGACCGAAAACATAACATATGGTTCCACCAGTTTCGATGACACTTTCTTCCTCTTCGTCCGGGTGGGAGATTTCCTTGTTGTCTTTTTATTCGAGCCGAGGGAGAGAGATTATTAACCATGCAAATTAAATATGAACAAATTATCGATTTCAGAGTAGGAAAAACAAATGGATAAAAAAATGAACCACTTAAAAGTTTCCATATGTAACCAAAACAATGAAATGCCACAAAATATGTGGCATCTTGGGAATAAAAGAGAAGAGGTAAAAATAAATAAATGAAAATTATATAAAAAAATTAGACATGTTGAAATGATGTACCTAAAGGTGGAGTTATTTACGTTTTTACGACATAATAAATAGTAAACCTAATGACACTAAAGTTTCGTAGAATTAACAAAAATGGCTTAACAAATAGTAGCTCGTACTTGGAGATACGAATAAAACAAACGAAAAGGGAGAATTGAAGAAAGAAAATAAAATAAATAAAAAGTAATTGAAAAGGCTAATGAACTAATACCCTTCTTCTTGCCATGTGTTCTCCTTCAACAATACCATGTGTCCTTCTTAAACAATATCCCTATAGTCAGGATTAATTATGAAAGAATCGCTTAATGAATAGTAAATGTTGAACCATTGCTTTTATATATCAACAACAATTGGTGTTTCTATGATCATCTCGTCTCAGTTGTGAACTCAGGAAGGTATAATGCCTGGATTACATAAACTAATGAGTTGTTTGGAAATTTGAAATTGTTTTGGTGAGATTCTTACTATATGTTAATTGTTTAGAATATATTATTTTTTTCTTTTTTGCATATGTATTTATTAATGTATCTGATGTGATGATAGAAACTATCACTCAAAATGACTAAACGAGTGATTGTTATGTCTTAATTTTTAACTGAGATTGTTAAGTTGAGATTGTCATATCTCAGTTTTTAGTTTATGTTGCATACACAATCATACATATACCAAACACTTTATTTTACAATGCATCAAATTATCAATGAATGTATCACATTTACATGTATTCACCACAATGCATCAAATTATCAATGACTGTGTAAATGTATACCAAGGTCCCTAGATATTGCAGGGTGCATCTTACAATCTCCCAACAGGGACCAGTTACGGTAACAACACTCCTTGTGTTGTTATTGTAACAACACTAGTCTCCAACCAATAGGAAGCTAGGGTTGTGATGACTTTTTATTAGATGAGCTGACCTAGTGTAAAATCAAAGCAGGGGTATAATTGTCATTATGAAAAATATGTTTAAATAATAAAAAAATATATATTTTTATTTTTTCGGCCCAAAATTTTGGTCGCCGGAATTCTGTCACCAGTCGCCGGTCACCGGAATATGCTTTTCGTCGTCGGAATATGCTAGTTTCTCATCGGAATATGCCACTATCGCCGGAATATGCTTACCGGCGTCGGAATCTAGTCATCGGGGCCGGAATATGCCTATCGGCGCCGGAATCTACTCACTGGCCGGTCAACGGCCAACGACCACAAGATGTTATGGTCTGCATTGTGAGATTTATGGTTTGGTTTCTCATATTTTTGTATGCCTTTTGTGGTTTGCTTTATCGTGTTTGTGGTTTGCATTGAGAAGTTTCTGGTTTGCTTTCAAAAAATTTGTGGTTTGCATTGAGGGGTTTCTGGTTTGTTTTAATATATTTGTGGTCTGCATTAGGACGTTTATGGTTTGCTTTTTTGTGGTTTGATTTACTGTGTTTGTGGTTTGCATTAGGAAGTTTCTGGTGTGCTTCGCAAATGTTGTGGTTTGCTTTGTGAGGTTTGTGGTTTGTTTTAGGAGATTTGTGGTATGCATTCGGAGGTTTCTGGTTTGCATTAAAAAGTTTCTGGTGTGCTTTCAAAATTTTTGTGGTTTGGTTTGTGAGGTTTGTGGTTTGTTTTAATATATTTTTGGTCTGCATTAGGACGTGTTTGGTTTGCTTTACCGTGTTTGTGGTTTGTATTAGGGGGTTCTGGTGTGCTTTAAAAATATTTCTGGTATGTTTTAGACAATTTATGGTCTGAATTAGGAGGTTTCTGGTATGCTTTCGAAATAATTGTGGTATACTTTGTGAGGGTCCAGCAAGCTCAGCGTTGGAGTGACTTCCTTGTTTTCCATGCTTCCAAAACCGTCTTCCAAGTTCCACCACAACAGTGATGTTGTAGTTCAACTTCTAAGAAGGATGGTCAATTAAGTTCGCAATCGCCGTTGCATCTCCAGCTTCCTAATCGGTGCTCCCCTTTCCCTCGCCTGGGGTGGGCTTTTCGTCGAACGATTGGCGTACATACTACATTCATGGAGTTTCAATACCGAGAGGTAAGAACCCCCTGTCCGCCCGCAGAAATTTGAGCTTCGTTGATAGTCCGTTTCAATTTGCTGTTTTGTGTCTGGGGTTGACAGGAGTATGTAAAGAATTCAAGGGGAGTAGAGCTTTTCACGTGTAGATGGTTGCCCAATCCTTCGTCTTCCTCGTCGTCGTCGCCAAAAGCTCTGGTTTTCCTCTGTCATGGTTGATTTTCCTCTGTCATGGTTGACAGCTTTAGCTTCGATTTCAAGGATCGAAACATTCCCGCGACGATTCTGGCAAAACCCGAGCCTTCACTTGTCGGATCTTCCTCACTGAGAAGCTCTAGCGATCTTTAGCTTCATGTGCGCTTGATTAATGTTCATGTAGAGAAAAAGCCCTCGCCATCTCCTTCAGTCCGGCAGTCAGGGTCGTCGGATCCTGAATTCGAGATCCTCTTCAATATCCCGACCACCATATATGAAATCCAGATCCGGATTTCTGGATCCGCCTGGTGGTTGTGCATTAGTATGACCGCCACCAGGAGGAGAGCTCCTCAATGGTCGTACGATGAGATCCGACGAGTTGCGGCGGAGGACGAAAAGGATGCGCCGGTGGCTGCCAATCTGCATCTGAATAAATAGTATAACGACTCTGATGGCGGCATCCTGATAGTAGTATGCCATTTGGCGTCGCCGGCGGCGGGTCTAGCAGCGCGGCGGAGTCAGCGTAGTGGAAGTCTATGTGCTCGTCGTCGGCCGAAAATCTGGGAGATGGCGCGGAGGGGGGAAGAATCGAGTGGGGAGAGAGAAGGGTACGGGTGGGCTAATGAATCATTTAATTTAATTTTTAATTTATTACTTTTTGTGAGTTTCCGTTTTTACCCCTGTTGTTACTCTAACAACACTATGAGTGTTGTTATAGTATCCGGACCCCTCCCAATAGCACTATACATTAATCTCCCACATTGCGGAGTTCATAGTTATACAAGTTACTATTGACATTATTTTATATGCATTTCTAAATCTGTACCAAAGTAAGTTTTAGAAATCTTTGTTCGTAAAAGCGAATTGTAAATGATTTCACATGCTTTATTCGAGATCATTTATTTGAGATCAACTGGATTCCTATACCCCAATATCCATGCCTCGCTCCAACTAAATATAGGGCTGAAAATTTGCCTGTCCCGTCCCGGTCTCGTCCCTAATGGGTCAACTTGCATAATCGTCCCGTCCCGTCCCGTCCCTGTTCTCTTCTTAACCCTGTCTGACCCTTTAGGGTCGCGACGGGCCGGGAGAGCGGGTCGACCCTCTCCAACACAAAATTAATTATCAAATTATAAAAATCAGAAAATTAATTAATTCATGAAATAATTTATTTATGAAATTATTTCAGAAAATTAATCAATTACGAAATTAATTTCAAAAAATAATTTTATTTACGAATTTCAGTTCAGAAAATTATTTATTCATCAAATTAATTCCAAAAAATTAATTAATCACCAAAATAATTCCAAAAATTATTTATTTACCCAATTTAATCCAGAAAATTATTTATTTATCAAATTAATTTCAGAAAATTAATCAATTGCCAAAAATTTAATCGAAAAATTAATCAATTACGAAATTAATTTCAAAAAATAATTTATTTACGAATTTCATTCCATAAAATGATTTATTTATCAAATTAATTCCAAAAAATTAATCAATTGCCAAAATAATTCTAGAAAATTATTTATTTACCCAATTAATTCCAGAAAACTAATCAATTGCCAAAATTATTTCAGAAAATTATTTCCAGAAAATTATTTATTTACCAAATTATTTACCAAACTCCCATAATATATGTGCTTGATGAAACGACAAGAAAGATGCATGGTGGAGGAGGCATCAATTGTTAGATAATCATCAATGACATCATTGTTCGATAATAATCAAGTACATCATACTCATGATCACACAATACATCATTGTTAGATAATCATCATTGACATCATATCATGATTACACAATACACCATTCTTCAATCATCATCAACTAAATCATTCATGATAGTACTATCATCCAAGCAATACTCTTTCAACTCTGCAAAATTAACAACACATCAAATAAATTAATAATAATCTAAATAAAATAGTGAATGTTAAAAACAAATTACTTTTCATACCTTGTTCAAGTTCTTCAATTTCTTCAAAATTCTCTTCCATGTCAATTGGAAGAGTACTCGATCGAAGCCAATTTTGACCACAAATTAAACTTTCAACAACCAAGGGAGTCAAAGAACTCCGAAATGCATCTAAAACGCGCCCCCCGGTACTGAAAGCAGACTCAGATGCAACAGTGGAGACTGGAATCGCCAACACATCTCTAGCCATCAAGCTCAGTATTGGATACTCACTAGAATGCTTCTTCCACCATGCTAAAATGTTAAAAGTTATGTCCACATCATCCTCAAGATTCGCCTTTAAGTACCTCTCAAGCTCCGAAAGTGTAGTTTCTCCCACCCTATCTTCCATTCTCTTTCTCTTGAATTTTTTCTTCAAATAATCTTCCACACTTTCAGATTCATCATTCTCATTTGGTGTTGCACTCCCCACACTTCTTGATGAGCTTCCATAAGTAACCCCTCTCATTTCCGAATAGTCATTGGACATATCCTCCAAAAATCCCTTCACATTCTCAAACAACTCATCTTTAGTCCAAATTTCCCCATGTTCTATCCCATAAACCTCATCAAGCACAAAACAAACATACTCCAACTTGTACCTTGGGTCAAGAACCACAGCAACAAACAGCAAAGGGTTGATGTTATCAAAGGAGCCCCAATACTTATCATGCTTAGCTTTCATTCTTCTTGCCATGGATTTATGACTCTCAATTTTTGATGAAGTTTCCTTTGTAAGCTTACAAGCAAATTCCATATATGACATGAAAGAGATCATTACTTGTGACATACAAAGAACCTAAAACTTTCATTGTAGCATCATAGAAGATCTTCAGAAAAGGAACTAGAGACTCCACATAATGCCAATCCAACTCATTTGGTGTCCCTTTCAACTTCTCTACTCAACTTTATACTTATCATCTTCTTCCTCTAACCTCTCAAATGCCCTTTTAAATACCAAAGCTGACTCCAACATCAAGAAAGTGGAATTCCATCTAGTCTCCACGTCTAAACACACTAGTTTCTTAGTCTCTAACTTCTCCTCATGGGCACAAGTCTTAAATCTCTGCATTCGAGAGTTAGATGATCTCACATACCTCACAGCCGACCGGATACGATGGATTTAATCATCAACATCTTTCAATCCATCTTTCACAGTCAAGCTCAATATGTGAGCACAACATCTCATGTGGAGATGCATTCCCTTCAACACACTCTCTTTCCAATTGTTAATCCTCTTCTTCAAATATGCCATGCCCACATCATTCTAACTTGCATTATCCACTGTCACGGTTAGAACCCTATCAATTCCCCAATTAAGCAAGTGTTTTTCAACCGTTTTTCCAATCGCGAGACCCGTGTGATTAGGAATAGGAGAGAAGTTGAGAATTATTTTCTGCATTTTCCATTCATTATCAATGAAATGAGCAGTAAGACAGACTCATGTAGTCCAAATGATGTCTACTTGCCCAGATATCAGTTGTGAGGCAAACTCTGATCTGTGACTGCTTGAAGTAATTTTTCAACTTCTCCTTCTCAGCCAAAAACAACTTAAAACAGTCTTTGGCTATGGTGATCCTAGATGGGATGTGAAACTCATGTCTTAGCGAATGGACAAAGTCACGGAAACCTTCACGCTCAACTTGCCTAAAAGGTGACTCGTCAATAATGATCATTCTAGCAAGTTTCATCCTTGAGACAACTGGGTCATATGTGTGAGGTGTAAAAGTAGGAGAAGCACTACTAGTACCCTGAGTTGTAGTACTAGTACCTTGAGTGCCAGGAGTTCTAGATTTCTTCTGATTATAAATACTATAAGGATACCTTTTGCATCTTTGCAAATGCTTTTTCAAACCACTTGTTCCAAAAGTAGATGGACATTTTAACTTTGATGAACAATATTTGCAATCAGCTTTTCTAGTTTTCTTATCCGACTAATTTTGTCTATTATAATGCTCCCATACAGCTGAAGTTCCGAATGTACCTTCTTCATTTTCATCAATTTCCAATGAAAGATTTCCTTGAGAAGGTGCATTGGTGGAGACCTCCATGAGATTACTGCTAGCTTCATCCATATCATGCCATTTTAATGAATCAAATAATTAATTCCAAGTGAAGATGATATATTATTATAACCATGTTAAAGAATCAAAGCAAACAACAATCTATAATATATATATACATGTCATTTGGAACCCAAAACAAAAACGGCCAAAATAATCAAAAGAAGAAGCCTAAGTCCTTAATTGATATTCACGACAGGAGGAATCGAGTTGAACTAATTAGGTTATGAAAAAAACATCAGTGGTGTAATTACAAGATCCAAACTTTATGAGCTTTGTATGTTACAACAAAAGAGAGACAACATATAGCTTAGTTCATATACTCTTTTCATCATTTCTAATTTGTTAGTTCAGTTCAATGTGCATATTGACTAAGCTGCACAAGAAACCTCTGCTCAGAACAATCAAACTTTGACACACCAATCACATAAGAGACTATTCAATTGATTTAAACAACTCTTGTACGATTTACTACTATGACTGTAAAAGTACTTCGATTATCCGCTGTGATTTGAATTACCTGTGACTGAATTTTCTTCTTCAGTTCATCAACAGATTCTTCAGGCACAGATTAACTAGACGGTAGACTACCAACAATAATTAAGAAGATCACCTTCTCTTGCAATTCCTAGTTCTCCAATCACTGCCAACAATAATTAAGCATATCTACTATTAGCTATCAGATCTTACAGAAATGGACAAATCATAAATCTGAATCATTGCATCGACTCAACCAGTAGAAATCACAAACTCTATAATGAAACTTTGTCAACTCATTGCACTTGCAAGCATCAACAAAAGATTGACGCAAGGGGTAGATAAGAATCAGTCAGTGGAAGACAAGAAACAAAGCAAGAGGAACAGAGGAACAATGGAAGATAAGAAGATAGATTTCTGGACTGTTCTATGCTATCTTCCTCCCCTCCAAACAAAATCGTCACCTCTACTTTCACCATCCAATGATTTCCTATTGGTTTATCATCATATATAATTAAGCATACCTACTATTAGCTATCAGATCTTACAGAAAGCAACTCACAGAACCATGAGGACAGTAATGGTTAACAGGCTAACAGCAATACCCACAACCCAAATTGACCATAGCTGACGACCTGGTTTGTCCAGGTAAACTTTACATGACTTTTGAAAGGAAAAACTAGCCTGTCCATGTAACCAGCTTGTTTAACTTCTAGACTCCAGAGCTAAAATGAGTACACTTTTCAACAACGAAAACACCCAGAAGACCAAACCCAGACCACATACATATATGGGTAACCAAAATACCAAACTCAGACCACACATATATGAGCAAATCCACAAAAATCAAAGCAGTAAGAGTAGCCAGAGACCACCAATCTTGGGGCTGAAACAGAGACAATAAAAGAAGGAAACCGAAGAAACATACCTATAATTGATGCAGATTTTCGACCAATAACTTCTTCTCCAAGGTCCTGTTGGCGACGAGGTATCGTGAAGGGATTCTCCAACCGCGCTGCCGACGAGGAAGCACGACAACTAGGCTGGACGCCCGGATGGAAGTCGCCGAGAATCGATGGAGATTTTAGGTTGTAGGTTTCCCTTTTAGTCGATGAGAAGAATGGAGAAGAGGTATCGTGAAGCGATGAAGGGATTTTCCAACCGCGCCGACGACGAGGAAGCGAAGCGCCACGACTGGGTTGGACGCCCGGACGGAAGTCGTCGAGAATCGGTTGAGATTTTAGGGTGTAGGTTTTCTTTCAGTCGATGAGAAGTGAGAACCGAGGCGAGAAGAATGAAGAAGGAGAAGGGTATTCTTTAATTTCTACGGGTCTGTTTTCCGGGTCTTAGGGTCAGGTGGGGTTTTTAGGGTCTGAGTGTAGTTTGACCCGTCCCTTATAGGGTCAAGGGGAAGACCGTCCCGAACTTGTCCCTCTATGCAGATTGACCCAGCCCGACCCTTCGGGACGGGACGGGATGGGTCGCCGGGTTTTAAGGGTCAGAATTTCACCCCTAACGCTAATACGGGTCGGGGCGGATAATACCTGCGGGTACGGAATAGGACGGGTCGACTCACTCTTACACGCTATTTGAAAAAAAAATACACGCATAATTTTACTTTTTATGATAAAACGGCATAGTTAGTAAATACTCCGTTTAATACACGTATATGTACCCGTACGTACTTTATCCGTTTAAAACTTCCGTATCCGTATTATTGTCAAGCCGTTTCATTTTCCCCCGTTCATTTCATGGTTCCCGTACTAAACACGTATAAAACCCGTATAACACGTTTATTATCCGTATTTTACGAATTAAATTGTTAACTTTACTATTATTTATATATTTATTTATTTTTAAAATGATTAATTTTATATATTTATGACTATTAACGTACTATTAAACGTAATTTTAGCTTAAAGATGAAGTATAATGCCCGTACGTATCTTTTACGTAACTTTCCCGTACCGTATTTTACTAACTATGTAAAACGGAGGGAAAACACGTTATGAATGAAAAATAGTGATAATAGAATGGGTATTTAGTCTAACTAGTTGAAAGATCAAGTATAACTAGTTGAATAAAAGTCAAAATAGGATAAATATGAATAGAAAATGTAAGAAAATGAGATATAATTCGACCAAAAAAAATTGAGATATAATGGGCCAAGAACGAGACCGAGCGGGACAAGACAGGTCGAAAGTAGATATACATACCGCACCCCACTCTGCTGTGGGTCTGGTAATACCCATTCCATCGTGGGTCGGGCGGGTTCCAATTGCGCGCCATCCCTACACCCAACAATACAATACACAAAGTCTTTCTATATGTTTTTTTTTGGGTGAATCTTTCTAGGGCAAGGTTGTCAATCCGCGGGTTGACTCGGACCCGGTTGAGCTAGTGGGTCAAGGGTGAACGGGTCACCCATTTTAGCCCGGAAATATAGAAAGAGTCATTATATTGTACTTATTCTGATAAATTATATCAAATTTTATCTAACATTTGAGTAATAACATATAACATTATGCCAAAGTAACATGTCGTATTTAGATCCAACATAGTGTGAAAATTCACACACACTTATATAACATCAATATTCAAATGTTTAACTAAGAATTCCAAAGATTGAGTTGACGAAAAGAAAAATTGGAAAATAGGCGGATTTCGCAAACCAAAGAAAAAAATGACACAATTTGACCTCCAACCCGATACCTTATAGCGGTCAGCTCGACGGGTGTGTGATCCGTTTTTCTCACCGGGTTAGGATCAAAATGGGTCGACGAGCGGGGTGAAAACCTTGTTCTAGGGTCGTCGTCTAGTTGTGAACACGAAATTGACGATGCATCTGCTACTCTGCTAGGGTCTTTCTTAATTAGGTCATTGTGAAATTTATATTTTATATTTTGCGGTCTTTGTTAATCAAAGTCATGCGCTGAAAAGTATTATATGCCAATATGAACTTATTGTGGTCGATGGATGGGAGATTTTGCTATATAATGGCTTCCACACCCTAACTTTACCCATCATCCCCATCACATCTATCCCTTCCATCTCGAGAAAGAAAATACCAGCAAGCTAGCATAGCATGGTTCTCTTTGATTTCAAGTCAGACAACCACTTCGTTTCTTCCTGTGACAGCACTACCCTCAGAGTCTGTGAGTTGAGCAACCATGCTATTCACCCTGCTTCTATCAGAAAGGCTCACTGGAAAGAAGTCGGCAGCATCAGCGTTGTCTATCGTGATGATAATAGTACTAGAGAGGTCGATGACGACATGGAGGGCGAGCAATGCTACGAAGGGTTGTTGTTTTTTGATGGTCATGGGAAGATCGAGGGGCAGAGAGCCCTCACAAAGCTAGCCGAGGAATTGACTCGCTTGGGCTTGATGGTGAGCCCTGGAGGGTATTGCTACCAAGACGTGACTGAGTTGCGCGAGCATAAAGACTTCGGGGTTCACTATCTCCGATTGAATGATCTCTTCAACTGGTCCATCCACGATGTGTACTCGGCAAGGATCACCACGTGGAAGCGTGTGGTGTTGAAGTACACCGTGCCAAAGCACAAGAAAATACCAAAGTCATCGATGGTGGGCGGCGGGGTGAGCAAGGAGAAATACGAGGAGTTGAAAATGATGTTGAACGAGAAGGAGGAGGAGCTGGAGAAGGTGACCGCGAAAATGGAAGACGAGATGGAAAAAATGACGGACGAGAGGGACGAAGAGCTGCGAAAGGTCCAACAAGAGATGAAAGAGGCAATCGACAAGAAAGATGTGGAGTTGCGGAAAGTGAAGAAGGAAAAGGTCGAGGAGTTGCGAAAGCTAAGGAAGGAGAAGGACGAAGAAATGCGAAAACTAAAACGGGAGATGCATGATGAAGGAGAAAGGTTGCAGAGAGAGAAGGACGAAGAAATAGCAAAGCTCGAACAAGAGAACGAGGAAGAAGCACTTCATCAGCTGGAGAAAAAGGAGAATGAACTAAACATGTTGAGGCAGGAAGCTGACGACAAATTACAAAAGCTGAGGGAGGAGCTGGAGATTCTGAGACGAAGAAAGGATGATCATGACAATGACGACGATGAAGAAACGGTGCAAGCACCACGGAAGGAGGACGACAACGATAAGGAAGCGCTACAAGAGCTTATCAGAGAGAAGGATGTCGAACTGCAAGAACTAGGGAAGCTAAAGGACCAACTCTCGGGTAAACTAGAGCAGTGCCCTAAACATTCGTGGTCCAGGCAGCTAATTTCTAATGATCGCTTTTACACCGGCGGTGATATCAACCAGATACCAAGACAACAGGTTCCAAAAGAAACGTTTTCGAAAAACCAGAGTAGACTCAGTGGACATTATTTCAGCAGCTACAATTACGCTCGACATACCTCGACTTGGACGCCATTCAACAGATCAACTGTTGTTCCGCTAAAGGATCGAGGGACCGATGAGTGGCCGCTTTCCCGTAAGGTTGAGGTTTGGGTTGGGAACGGCGGCCACTTCGACGTCGAAAACTGGTGGGTTACGAAGACGGCCCACCCGGAAGGTGGCATGACGATGCTGGCTTATTACCAGGGGACTTTTGCTACGCATACAAACGAGTATGGAAGGCCTGTGTACTTGCCGTATCATCCTAGCTGTGATTTTTGCGCAGATGGATATTTCTTCCTGGCTTTTCTCTGTGGTCAAGGGAGGCTTGCTTTTATGTATCGGGACTAGATGATGTTACGACTCGTGAGGGCATTCATCCAATCACGGATGATCAAGGCAGACTGTTGATGGTTGTTTTCCTATTTGGTCATGAAATAAGAAGATCCGAAGTTGTTTTTCTACTTGCGCAGATAGGCAACGTTCATAACGCTGGACTTCTATTAGAATTAAGCAAAAATTGCTGTGATGAGAGAGCTCAAATTCAATCTATCTCGCCCCACTCTATCTAAATTCGTCATCTCGGTACAGGAGATTTCAACTAGCAGGAACCATTCGTACACTAGATTCGACAGCATGTTAATCTGGCAAGACGTTATGCCTCGCCTAAGTACAGCACATGATGAAAGTGTTCAACAGCACTTATCTTCCTATCTGTAGTAACTTTCAACTGAACGTTGCAAACAAAATAGACGCCCTTCTTACCATCTGACATTCTCTGAACCACCTCGAGAAACCTGAAAATACCATTTTAGCAGACAAAAACTCCTTCGCCATTCGAAAAGCTTCTTAAGAAGTCCAAGTCCGGCATGGTGCATTTTTAAATGTCTGCCACGAGGAAGTTGCTGGACAAGGATACCTATAAACACAAGATGATCTCATTTAGAATCCTGTTTTGTTACGAATGGCTCCACACGACAAATGAGACCACAAAACGGGTTTCTTAAGTACCTTTTCACCAAGCTTGAATGGAGGAAGACCTTTGTATGGACATGTGCCACAACGGAAAGCATCCCCGAGTCCACACTGCAATGCCACAAATTGAGAGGGGCAACAGAATTACAAAGTTAGACTAAAAAAAAAAAGAATCAGAGGCAAACAGAGACAGTCGATGTAAGGAAAAGTTGGAACCCTACACTTCCACAGGATGACTGAGGATTGTTCAGCTGCTCTGTGGTCAATCCTAGCTTAACTTTCTCTTCCTCCTCAGCTCTCCCACAGGTACAGTTCTTGCAAGCTTTCTTTGTGGTACCAATCTCACAGTCACCAACTGCATGATAGTGGTTGGTTTAAGTTCTCCTTCTTGAAAAAAAGGAGCCAACTTACATTTAATCATCAGTTGCGTGTTGTTTAACTCACCTGGTATTTGAGGTTTCTTCAAATCCTCTTCGGTCAAAAGGCTATCTTCGTCTATCAAATCTGAATCATCATCAATCTGAAGCTTCACCGGCGCTTTTGTACCCTTTTTGAGAGCAAATGATGTCCCAATTTTCCAAGAAGCCTTCTTTGCCTTCACAATCTGAGTAGAAAACATTAATCAATCACACTCAACATTCATGACATTGATCACTTCCACAGAAAAACGCACACAAGGTTGTTCAATAAGCCAGCACATGTTCACATGGTGAATTTCATTGCAATCACATATAAAGTGAAAAACTTTTCAACAAGAAGAAACTCAGAACTCACCACAACAGTCAGAACAGCATTTGAGCTCCGCTGAACACCTTTAGCATCCAAGAACCCAGCCAAAAGTAATTGGCGTTCAAGTGACTGCAAATGAACACCAGTGTGAGATATCCAACTATAAACTCATGTTTGTAGCATTCAATAGCAAGAAATATTCACCTTCTCGGTTTCCCTTGGAGCAGACTGCAGAATCTTATAGACAAGGAGAGTACCACCAGGTTTTAACGCCCGCGAAATTTCATCAAACCAACTCCCACCAGGATATTCATGTGATCTACTGATGCAAATCAGAAAGTCTATTGAGGATGGCTCCACCGGTAGTTTACCTAGCAGCAGAAAATCCGGAAAAGGACACTTATTTAGCAAAGACCAGATCTCTGATCAGCGATCACAGCAGCACTACGAACTGAAAGGGAGCCCCATAATATTCACAAGGAATTATACAATAACATTGCTCACTGAAGCCCCACAAGCATAAAAAACCATGAACAATCTGCTTAGCCAATAGTGCACTGTATTGATCAGGAAACATCCAAAGCAACAGACGATTGCAACAGCATGACTAATAGAGAAAACTGAAAAGATACTGAGCGGAAGGTTTTACTTTGAGAGGATGACTGAGTATAGAGCTGAACGTCACACTGCAAAGCTTCATTGCCGAGCTCCCTCAGCGCATCATTAATGGTGGTCATCTGCACCACTTGCTCATCCGACATCACCAACGCAACGCCATGCACTGATTTCGCTTCCTACAACAACAGCCCAACAAATTCAAAACTAGTTCCGAAGCTCACTCATCCCCAATTCGAGAAGGCCAGAGGAAGAGGGCAGAAGAGGGAATCCCATAAAACGATAAGAGAGAGCCGTTTAGGGTTAATTCCATCGCAGATGGTAGCATTGATCTCAGCCAATCATCTTTACAATGTCCTTGCTTTATCCGGTTTCAAAAAAGGAAGCAGATCTCGCAGAGAGAAATCTGAAAAGAAAGGAGGAGGCGGAAGGGAAACTCACCATCGTAATTGATCTCTTGAAAGCTTGGAGCGGAATGGGAGAACGAGGAACCCTAGAATTTGAAGCGGAGTGGAGACGGAAGCTTTTTTCCCCCAAATTCCCTCTAGAATGTGCGATTTGAAGTCTTTGTTTGTGAAGCCGTGCCCCGTCCCGCGTTTATTGGTTGGAGAGGATACGGTGTGGCGGCTGCACATGGGAAAGAATGAGAACGCGCGATGACGTGGACGCTTACGTGTTAGTCTTCGACTCTTCCGTGCGTGTCGGTCACGCGAATGACGTGCTTGCTCCGATGGGATGGTTTTGGGATGGGACTAGGGATGGCAATGGGTCGGGTCGGGGACGGATAGTGTATATCCGTTACCCTACCCAAAGTAGTTCGAGTTTTACCCATGCCCATACCGACATAAGAAACGGGTAGAAAATCCAAACCATGCTCATACCCGTTCGGTTTTCGGGTATCCACGGTTATCCATGGATAATAGTTTTTCTTTATAACTCCAATCAATATGTTAATATTTACACGTATTCTCACGTTACGTAAGACGAAAAGTACGACAATAATTCACTAGAATGAAGAAAATTAACTAAAACAACACAATTTCATAAAAAAATTTATATTTATATGCTAAATATAAAATATGTTAGAGAAAAATATTGATTATTTCTAGACAAAATACATACGCATATGTATAATCGGGCGGGTTCGGGTTGGATAGTGAGAAAACCATGCCCACCCATTACCCGAAATATTCGGGTTCGGGTTTTACCCGTACCCACTAAAAGTCCTTCGGGTTCGGGTTTTACCCTACCCGATTAGGTCGGATTCGGGCGGATATCCGAGGTTACGGATATTTTTGCCATCCCTAGATGGGACCATGGCTGAAAGCCTGAACTGAAAATTGAGCTTACCAATATGGGCCTACTGATTTCTAAGGTCCAATTCCAAATTTAGACTCATAACTGGCTGGGATTTATAAACGAAGAATGTGTTTTACTCGACTTGATGAACAAAAGTAGTCTAAGGGGTCGTTTGGTAAGCACGTAATGTAGAATTCATGTATTTGAAGAATTCATGTATATTGTAGGTTGAGTTGTGAGAACTTGTGTAATATTTGAATGCATTGTTTGGCTTGCATGAGTTCATGGTAGAACCCACATAATTTGGCATGAAATCTCAAATACTTTGGGTAAACCCAAAGCATTTGAGATATCATGGTCACATGAATTCTAGAATTACATGGTGCACCAATATCATGATATCTGTCCAAAAATGAAACAAGAAAAACAGTGAAATCACAGATAACATGTAATCTTGAAATTTGTGGGTAGATTACATTAAGATTCATTGGTCATAGTGGTAACAGAATGACTCATTCAGTAGCTTGTCATGCTCTGTTTTTGATTTTTGTCTCCTCATATGTTAAAGGAATTTGACTTTGTTATTTGGTCACAAAGTAGACAGATTTCGCTGTAAATTTGTGGATCTTTTGACTATGGAATTGATAGGTTTGATTGTTGTTACAAGAACAATAAACCTCCTTCAGTATTAGAACTCATGCTATCAGATACGAAAACAAAAAGGGAAAGCAATTAGCTATGGAACTGGTTTCTATTTCATTAACAAGACACAGGGTTAACTTGCATTTGTTCTCTCAAATTTCCAAGAGGGCCATAGGTTTTTCCGGAGGCCTTCTCGCTGCTGCAGTTACAGGTGCTGGTGTTCAAGTTAGTGTCACACTGGAGGCACACCCCTTTACACATTGCATCACAAACTCTGTTGATTCTTATCTCCATATGCACCAAATTGCATCACAAACTCTGTTGATTCTTATCTCCACATGCACCAAATCTCTTATGTTACTGTTGGAAATGAATGAATAGTTTTGAAAGCTATAGAGTTTTAAGGTGGAAAAACTACCACATTGGTAGTTTTACTTTGGTGAAATGAGTATAAAGATAGGAGTCTCTCTCCTAAGGGCATGCCCTTTGGGGTCACTCACTTTTGTGGGAGAGGAAAGACCTAACGAACTACCACATACCCCCGCGCGCGCACCGTTTGTCCGGTTGGTTGGTTCCCTTGAGACTATATATTTTTTGGAGAAATTCCGAACGAAATTAATTATCCAATAATTAATTATTAATCGGTTATTCTTTATACTTGAAAAATACAAGTTGGAAGAGGATAATCGATTAAAAGGAATATTCGAAGGATAATTCCGCAGGAATTATCTTACAGACGCATTTTAATTAAGGAAGTAATTATCTTCCTAATTAAAACCGACTTATTCCCCGGGTATATTCTTAGGGGTTCGGCTACTATAAAATATAAATAGCCGCCTCCCCAAACCCTCTAAACATACAAAAAATACGAGCATAAACACAAATAGAGAGAGTGTTTATAGAACTCTGGTTTTAGCACAAAACCACGAGTATAGAGAGGAGTTGTTTTATCCTGAAGACGATCAGTTGATAGTCTGTCGTGCGCATCGAGGGCAGTGCCACGAACATCTTAAAGAAAGCGACCTAGTACGTGACTCAGCTCCAGATTCGGTAACCTCGTTCTTGTTGTTGTTCCGTTCCTAACAATTTTA